GGTGTGGTGGGGGCGGCTCTAACAGCATGAGTGTGCGTCTGTGCTCCAATGAGCAAGAATTCACCCCGTCATCTTAATAAAGACTCATCAGTGAAGCCAGGCACAGCCGGGGGGGGGGGGTCTTATCTGCTGCAGGAGACCAGGGTTTGACCCCCTTCAGGCAGGAGCAGGGCAATAGGGTAATCTCACCTCCATCTTGGCTGAGAGGACCAGTGTGTGTGTGTGTATGTGTGTGGGGGGGGGGGGGGGGGGGCAGCAGGCGGTCTCTTTGAAATCAAAGACTGGTCAGGACATGAGGTGGACACGGGCGAGGAGGGGGCGGACACCGGGACAAGGAACTATTCTTCTGGAGAGACTGCAGTGGAGGGAGGGGCTGTGTGTGTGTGTGTGTGTGTGTGTGTGTGTGTGTGTGTGTGTCTGTCTAGGATTACCGTGATGCGAGCCACATGCGCTGACTGAGGGTTTGGACGATGTCATTTCCTGCTGGCAGGGGTCTGTGTGAGTCGCTCTGATAGGTCCGCAGGAGAAACAGAACCTGCACACACACACACACACACACACACACACACACACACAGGGCTGGAGGTTAGTGAAAGTTAAGTGATAGAAATAAACAGTTCTAAGGACTAGTTGTGCACCAGGTGTGTGAGGAACAACAGCACTGGACCAGGACCAGGACCAGGACCAGGACCAGGACCAGGACCACTCTCTGGTTGTTGCTGGTTTCTCAGACCCATCAACACTGGGCAGTGTCAGAGTCATCAAAGGTCAGAGGTCAGGAACAAAACAACATTTAATTCAATCATGTTTGACTTAAAAAAAAAACAAAAAAACTTTCGACCAACACACAGATCCAGTCAGGGTCACGTGACCCCAGGGCGAGTCTTCGACAGGAGGCAGAGCTCCTCAGCGCTGGTGTGAGAACGAACGTCGTCTCGTGACCAAGTGTGAAGAACATGTGCAGTGATTTAAGGCCCTGGTGCAACAGCGCAGCCTGTGGTGGAGAGAGGATCAAACCCTCCACCAGTGAAGATCGGATCAGTCTCTTCACTGCGACCAACGTGACAGTGAGACTGAGGGAGTGAGGAACAGGTGGACCGCTGGCTGGGAGTGTTCAGCAGCCAGGACTCGGCCTGTTCTGACTGACTGCCTGCCTGGGGTGTGTATTCTGGGCCATGGTAAGTATACTCTTTAAGCCGGGCCCACGGCCACAGACCAGGAGGAAGCCATTCATTACGCCATGCAGGGAAGGCAACGTGGGGAAAAACCAGTCCGACCACGTAGCACCAAGCCTGGCCGCTGAGACCTGGACCGCCTCCTCTCTCCCCCTGCAGTCTCCACACCCAGGCTACGCCCACTGGCTCACACAAACAGCTTCCACACCCCGGTATCCGTCTTCCTTCTCCTGTCACTCTCTAGGGCTTTTCCTTGGAGAAGAAGTCGGCGTTGAAACCAAACCCCGCGTCCAAGTCACCTCACCGTCCAAGGACCGACTTCAGCTGAAATTTAGAAAAATACAAAAAAAAAAAAACACCCACACCAGCCCAGTCGACGAGCACCAGGACTTGTCTTGAGATCAGAGTTTGTCAAAAATCCAGGTCAAAGTTCAAACTCACAGATTTGCACCATCAGAAGAGTTGATGTTCATCACAATCACAGTGTCACCGTCACAACCTAAACAACCACGTGAAAAGGTGACAACAGAACCGTTGTTGTCTGACTGACACGGAAAGCAGCGAGCGGGTGTAGCATTAGATCAACACCGTCAGGGACTGGATCACAGTTCTGACATCAGATCACGATACGATACGCATCACGATACACGGGCAACGATACGATATTTAAGGATATACTGTGATACTATAGACATGACGGTATATTGAGGTGTTTTTTTTTAAACTGTAACTGTAGTCAGAGTGTGATCCTAGTCTGAGACTCTGTTCCATCTGAACATCAGTTCCTAACACTGGAACAGAGGGATCTACATTTGGAATCACTTCGGAGTGTATTGATATTTTCTTACTGCCCTCTTGGGTTCTGTCACAGAGTTTGTTTTTTTTAAATTATTAACACAAACACTAACATTTTATAAATTGATTTTGAACTCTCTCTTCCTGTTCCTATTCATTGACCCAGTGAGGGTGAGAGTCTCCGGCCTTGGTTCTTAGTTCAGCGACACATGCTCATCCTGGACACACTTCCATGACTCTGGGAAGTCCCTGCAGCTGAATCCAGCCTGCTGCAGAGAAAAGTCAAATATTTATAGAAAGTGCAGCCTCCCTGTTTCTTTCTCTCAAAGACGGAGGACTGAACTACACCCCGTGTGGGAGGAGACGCTGGGACTGGATCAAGCTTAATGAATGGAAGCAGATAAAAAAGCACCAAACGGCACACGGAGCGCGGTCCAGGATGAGCCGAGCTGTGAGCGACGAGGACCAGACGTCCAGTTGGATCCGCTACAAGTACTGCAGTACAACTGCAGCAATATTACTGCAGTGAAACTATAGTGCAAAATATGTCAAAGTAAAGTTGACAGGTGTGTCAAACTCAAGGCCCTTACAGTAGTGGATTTATTGTAAGTGTACGGATTCACAAAATTATATTATATTTTTAGTTCAGTTGTGTGTGTGCGCCCCCTGCAGGGTAGTAGTATTTATGGACACAAATGGATTTTACACCCCCTGGTGTATATATTAAAAAAAAAATCCAAAATGAAAGCCCTGGAACAAAATGTGATGATATTTAAATATCCACAGAGAAAAACGAACGCTGCTAAAGACCAACAGTATTGAACAGGGACATGGACTGAAGCCGTGTTCCGTGTTCTGTGTTCTGTGTTCTGTGTTCTGCAGGGAGACGTCGAAACATTTGTATGAATGTGTTGCAACAAGCCCGACTCCTCTTTTGGACCTGGTAAAAATAGTGGTGGTGGATATGAGGTCCCTCCAGACTCTGTTATCAGCCTGCCCTGCTGTCCCTCCCACTGCCGCAACCACAGACTGACCACACGCTGCAGCAAGTGTGCGCGCACACACACACACACACACACACACACACAGAGAGAGAGAACAAGTGCAAGTGCAAAAAATAAATGCATGCCAACTGGTGGTTGAGTCCAGTAAAACACAAGCGAGAAGAAGAAGAAAAAAGCATTCACATAAAAGCCGTTGGGGTGAGGCAGAGTGTGGGGTGAGGCAGAGTGTGGGGTGAGGCAGAGTGTGGGGTGAGGCAGAGTGTGGGGTGAGGCAGAGTGTGGGGTGAGGCAGAGTGTGG